CCCCCCTCCCCCTCCACTGCTCTGGTTCTCTATGATCACTCTGTATAATTACAGAAGTATAGAGGTCCAATATCCTCAATATTCAAGGTTCAGGTAACTAACAAATGTATATAACTAGGTTTTTAGGATGCTTTGCGTCCATCTTCTATTTCAATTGTGAACATATTCTCTTTGTACACATTATAAAACAAAAAGAAAAAGAAGTTCCTCGATTTTGTTAAAAAATTTGGTCCCGCTCGGTTCAGTATGTATGATTTTATATAATATTGGGATACCCTGTATGTGTATGTATGATTTTATATAATATTGGGATACCCCGTATGAGAAATGTGTGATTTTATAATATTGGGATACCCTGTATGTGTATGTATGATTTTATATAATATTGGGATACCCTGTATGTGTATGTATGATTTTATATAATATTGGGATACCCTGTATGTGTATGTGTGATTTTATATAATATTTTTATTAAAACACAATTGTAATGGTACAGTTTTAAAGCAATGCTCGTAATAAGATACATCAAAATAAACATTTTAATAGACAATTTATTTATTAAAAATAGAGTAAGGTTTTACATATCTCATTAATAATTTCAATATAATAATTTTTTAATAACGGAGACAAGAAGGATTTATTTAAAATATTATGTTATTGTTAAAAAATTTATTATTTTTTTTAAAATTAAAAATATATCTACATTTAGAGGGAAGGATTGCTGGGAGGAAAAAGATAAGCAGTCAAACACTCAAAGGTCAATTCTCAGGTACCATATTTTTTTTTCAAAAAAAATTGTGTTTTTGGCTCTTAATTTATTGAAGACAATTCTATTATTTTATCATAAATAAAGGTTAAATGAAGGAATTAGAGTTTGTGTCACAAACTCTAATTTTCTCTTCACCTTATCTTTGCAATTTAATGGCTTAGGCCTTAGATATTTCAAACTATGAGTTCTGTTAGATTAAATAGTTTAAGTTTGACGAATCAAAGATTTATACCGTCAAGCTGCAAAGATAAAGGGATAAGAACATTTGAGTTTGTGGCAAAGACTCAATTTCTTTGCTTATGCGTATATCAGCACTGCAAGGTCACAAAGGAATACTGACGAATTTACCCTTCTTGGCCTACTGTCTAACGAAGTGTAAGATATTCTTATCTTTCTTGATGCTAGCATTTTAACAATCATTTGTAAAGTTGGATGAGATTCAATCAAAGTTTATATTATTCTATTCACTTTACTAAATTAGAAACGAGCATACTTTATCCAACTAATGAAGGGAGAGACCTGTCATATTTATACACAACATTATCAATAATTGAATTCAATACAATTTGCACTAAGAGATTAAATCAGGCTTCCATGAGACTACTTCTTAAAGAACATATTTAGGGTCCGACTTTTGGACACCCCCTCTTCCCCCCGTGAACGTATAAAATGCCTTTTTTTGCTGAAAAATAGGTGAATTTTTTATTAACATAGGTATGTATGGTAGTAAGCAGATACTTTTCTTATAAAACTATAAGATTTTTTGTAAAATCATGATTAAAAAAAAAATATTTAGCAAGAAATTCAACTTTAAAAATCTTTAAATTGCCTTTTTTTTTCTTTAAGACTTGCTTAAGTTTTTGTCTTGGAAGTGACTGTAGTTTGAAAATGAAAAAAAATAATAAATGTTGAAATTAAGATTTTGAAAAATCAGTGGAAGTGAGGGTAGTTTTTAATTTAAATAAAATTCTTGAATAAATGTTGATAAAAAAGTTTCAACTTGTCGGTGGTAGTGAGGGTAGTGGGGAATTGA